AGTGACAGGAAGATAAATGTTGCCAACGAAAATTTTGTCTTTTTTCATAATCTGGGCTTATGCTTGGGGAATTATGGTTCAAAATGAGTTTTATAATTAATTAATCAAGTATAAGTAAACTATGCAATATCACAGGCATTCAGCACATTTGCTTTGCCAATAATGATCAAATTATCATAAAATAATCTCCCATTAATCATCAAGAACAAAATCACTATCCAGCACACTTTTACTATATAAAATATTTTATATATTTATCCTTGGTGATAAAAGGGTGATTATTTTATGATACGTCACGTTTCAGCGTTTTTTATTATTCAATAAGGTTGTAATTTCTATGAAATATAATACACTATCCTTTGTACAAAAATGTGGATAAAACGTTGGTCTTGAGTGTCTGCAAAGGATAAACAGGTGATAGGCTATCATCTACAGTAAAGATTGAATCAGCGGCAGTATCATGGCCTAAACCACAAAACATAAAATGTCTCAAAACTTACACGTTGTCCTCAACCATCTTTCTTAATCAGATAATATATAGTTGTGCATCGGTTATCTAGAGGCTAAGTAATTTGTATCATTTTATACGATAATAAACAAGTACATGTATAAAGCAAGGATAATTTCTTCAAACCGTGTTTCCGAAAGTACGACAATATGATAACAACTCAACGGTTGCCTCTATAACTACCGATCTTTCGAACAAATGTGCAAGTCCCTCCGGGTTGAGCGAAATATGTTTGACTAATATATATTTTTTCCTATCAATGACAGCAAAATTAACAGAGTTTCCTCCACTAAGATCACATAGGGGAATCAAAGCACAGAAGGCGCTTAAATTGTTTGGGTCTCAGAATGTCAGAAAGGTGAAGGTTGTGAGATTATAAACCAATTTGTTTTTATATAGTGCCACCAATGCTTTCCAGTGTTTTAACTGTAGTGAATATGGCTATAAGAATAACTGCAACACTGATAGTCATTCAATATGTTTATTTGACTTAAACAATTAAAAAAATGAGCTGCCTCAACTGGGATTTGAACTCCAGACCTCTCGATTGCAAACCCCTCGGCCACGGTGAAGTTATATGTTTACGGCCTGAAGAAAACCATATTATTGTAAATTAGGGTTTGTAACTCTTATAATTTCGACGCTAAACCTGTTGTTTAACACAGATGTAAATAATCATGGAGCTTACTGTAAGCAGGTATATCTATAAAGAATGAAACAATATTAGAAATCTTCGACCATTCGGGAACTACTTTGCTTGAAAATTAATGCGCCTGTCATTTGACAATCTTTACGCATTGATCTCCCCTGAATTTTTCGGCGTTAGTGTACATATAAAGGGAAGTAACCGCTTCAAAAAAGTGGACTACTTTAGGCATTTGCAATTAACAGCATTAGGCTCTGAAATTTCGCTACCATTATTTGTTTGGTCTGACGACCCAAACAAATAAAAACCATCAAACATTGGCAGAAAAATATACATGAAAACACCATGCTTGAGCGCATTTTATCATGAAAATCAATGCTCTACAACAATCATTTTTCCAGTCTACGAAATCTGCGTCAGCAAAATTACCATAAAAAAAACGGGAATAAGATATCTCAGTAATATCTCTTTAACTAAAATACACTCAAAACCAACATTATATATCCTCATGATTGAGCAAAAAATGAGCGTTCTACATTTCATAATGATTTACAACCGTATTGAATAATAAAAAATGCTTAAACGTGCCGTGATTTAGCACAAGAAACACATTGGCAGTAACAAAAGTTATCTTAAGAACTCCGGGACATTTGAAAAATCGGGTATAAATTTGTTAGGCGGAGCTTTATGTTTGTAATTTCGCATTATGATTAGGTAATTATGTATGGCAAGGATGATAAAAACTACCAGATTTTAAGCAAGAGGCGGTGAAAAATGGAAATGAATTAGTTCTTGACACATAATACAACATGTTAGTCAAGCTTAATTATCAAAGATAAATTTAGCACCTAAAATTCACATTTTAAAGATGAAAATTACCATCTTTGACGAGTGTTTTTTTAGTATTTACAAAAGTTTTCCGACGATCTCCGTCACAATTATCACAAGAACTTCTTGACAAGTTATCATAAGAACTCCATCCCTCGTGTAACACTTCCTCCCTCGTTCAAAATGCCTCTAGCATCATGAAGAGGGCCAAATTCTCAAAATCAGTCCTGTCTAATTCAGATCTCATTACATTAGTGAACAGTTTATTTTACGTAAGAACTGAGTTTATTTTGCACAAGATCTGAGTTTTAAATTTTTGTCCATAATAACAAATATAACATCAGAATTTATCAGGTACCCATAGTTTATGATGTTCTATAATGTCTAAAATATTTTATGTTTATTGACGTGTTCAATTAATAAAATGTTTATAAATCTGAGTATTTATGAAAATTAATTTACCAAATTTTACTAAATGCGCAGATGTTGGTGTTAAAAATCGAAATAACCCACCCAAACACGACAGGTTTGTTTAGAAACACATACATTTTAAAGTGCTCCATTTAAAGTAACCCTACAAGAAATTATTATGTCATTGTTATGGAAGCTACGCTAATATTTCTATATGACTTTGCATGAAAAAATAAGAACTAATATATGCAAGTTAACCAGTTTTACTTCGGCCGAATATCTTTTTGTGTCGCCTACATATAGGGATCACTTCTCAGTCGTCTGTCTCTCTGCCCATCTGTCCGTCCGTCACAAATCATATCCGGACTTCTCATTATAAAATACTGGTGCAATTTCATCCAAACTTTACAAGAATTATGAGTACCAAGTCTTGTTGTGCATATCGTCAGCATTTTACGGTTATGGCCCTTTAATAATTTTTATTTTTAAAGTTTGTTCTGACTACTTCTCTTATACCACATATGTAATATCAATGAAACTTTACAGGATTGATCTGTAGCTCATGTCCATGCAAATATTGCACGGTTTTTCCGCTTGAATGATTTCTAGCAGAGTTATGATAAAAAAAGGTGTTTTTGTGTGTTGCCAGATAAACAAAAGCTTGTCCGGACTACTTTTCAAAAACTACTTGTGCATTTTCATCAAAACTTTCAGAAGTGATTAGTATCAAATTTAGTTGTGCATATCGTCAGCATTTTTCAATTCAATGATTTTTGTTTGAGTTATGGCCCTTTTATTATTTTTATTTTTAAAGTTTATACGGACTACTTCTCTTATACCACTAATGCAATTTCAATGAAACTTTACAGGATTGATTGGTAACTCAAGAACTTGCTTATATAAACGGATTTTTCGCTTGATTTTTTGGCCCAGTTATGGCCCTAAAATGAAAAAGGTGTTAATAAAGTTTGTCTGGACAACCTCAAATACCATTAATTCAATTTCAATGAAACTTTACAGGATTGATTGGTAGGCCAAGTACCTGTGCATAATTACCACGTTTTTAGCTTGAATGATTTTGGTTGAGTTATTGCCCTTGAATAAAAATGTTCTCTTTTGTGTTGCCAGCTACACAGAAGTTTATCTGGACTACTCCTCAGAAACTACTGTTGGAATTTCATCAAGCCTTTAGGGGAATGATCAGTATCATGTCAAGTTGTGCATCTCATAAAAAAATTTCGGTTCATTGATTTTTGTCAGAGGTTTTACTCTTTCATGATTTTAATTTTTATATTTGTACAGACTACTGCTAAACCACTAATGCAATTTCAATAAAACTTTACAGGATTGATCGATAGCTCAAATCCTTGTGCATATTACACAGGTTTTTAGGTTAAATGATATTTTGCCGAGTAATGACTATCATAAGGCGACACATATCATCATTGGTGGCCTCTTTTTAAAGATACTTTTGTTTTTAAGATTTGTTCATAAGTCTACATAAGCTACGTATGTGAACTTCATGAGGAGTAAACTTTACCCAAGGGTCATGTTCTATGTAAGTTTTGCAGAGGTCAAATAAGCAATACTACATGCCAAATATTATGTGCATTTTAGTTACACACAATAAATAAAACTTAAAAGTGTTTTCCTATATGTCTTTATTAACTAAATGACCCCTTGGGTGAGACAAATATTGAGGAATTATATCATCAGTTTTGTGGAGATCAACAGGCCAATGCCGCATGCCAAATATCTAAGCTCTGTGTATTGAAGTATTACATAATAAGACTTAATGTCTTTTTCCTGTACGAGTCTAAATAAATCAGGAAAAGGGCAAAGCAAAGCAAATATTATTCCAAGAAGCATGATTAATATCAGTATTGTAGACATTTCTACGTGCAAAATATCTAAGCTCTCGGCAAAGTAGTAACACAGGATGAATTTAAAATGTATTTCTTATACAAGTCTATTTAAATCAAGTGACCACGTGCCAAAACAAAAATTGACCTAAGGGAAAAGATATGTAACAGTTTTGTGGAGGTCTACAAGGCAATGCTTCTTTCAGAAACAGTTTTCTCACTAGTGGAATTTGAGATGAAATAAAATTACACATTACGCAAAAATCAATGCTATACTTAATACATGAATTTATTGCTCGTAGGATACTTAAGGTGATTCCGCTTTGTCAGCCATGTTTGTTTTCACAAAGTCTGTCCAAAGTGAAAGTAGGCCAAAATACATATAACAACAAAGCTCACAAGTGACTGTTATGTTATCACAAGGGGAAACATTTAAAAAGTAGTCTCTTCTGGACTTATAAAATATATTTGTATGGATAAATCAGTAATACACTCAACAACATAAAATTAACTACGTTAACGAAAATGCAAAGATTCAAAAACGATGATGCGAAATACCATAACGAAAATATACAACTCGCAGTTTCGTTATCGTACTGTCGTTTTATCAATATCTCCAGTTGCGATTGTATTTTCTTTCTTTATCTTAGTCAAATTTAGGCGATGGTCTTAAAGGTTACCCGTAAATTATATATGTAATAAAATATAAAAAGAAACTTTAAAAACTTTTTAAAAGAAATTGTACCTGTGGTTCTCCGTTGCTGTTATATGTTGCGAGAAATTTATGTTGTTTTCCTCCTGATATTAAGCGAATTTCTTCACCACTATCTTCTAATATTATTAGTTCAAAACTTCCTTTGATGTTTGCTTTTGACTTTTTTTCAATGAAGGCAACTGCATAATCTAGTAGCTTGTGTTGTATTTTCTCTCCATGATTTCTTTTTATTGATTCTTTGTCGACTTTGTCGAATTCGTATATCTGATTTGAAAAAGAAACAAGTTAGATTTATAAAAGGTTTACCAGTAGTTCCTAGAGTGATGAAAGTTTCCTGATTATTGCAATATGTAATAGTTCAACAGATAATATAAACCTCAATTTAAACATGTATGATATGGTGACTTTTTTATTTTTATTTCCCCGGGCATATATTAATTGAACCATCCGTCCGTCTGTCCGTACATAGTTAACATAGAACGGCAAGTTAGAGTTTTCTTAAGTTCTACCTTTACCAATGATTAACAAGTAAAATGGTTTCCTGCGGGGAACATTTTTAATGATATAAAGATATTTAATTTAACTATTTTCAACATTGTTTGATAAATAATCGTTTGTATCAGGAATATAGATGACAATAATCGATCAATATAGAAGAAGGTCTTTGGAAACTGGTGACCATTAAAGACCTGAGACCGGAGAAGGTCGAACATAAACAATTATTTCTTTTAAAGAAAATGATAAAATATCATTTTCTGAATAATTCCAAGCAAAAAAAGTAAAGTAAACACACAAGTTTACGCAGAAAATATCTCTATTTAGTATGGCAGATGCCACTACGAATATTTTTATTTTGTAGATTTTCAGTATAAACAATTTATTGTTTGTAAAATTTGAGATATATATTAAAGAAACATTGATAATTTTCAAACACATCATTCAAGTTTTTCCACCTTAAACGGTAAAATAATTATAGAAAATTAGAAATATCATGTAATTGTTTTTTGTTGTTAATTAGGTGTAATTCGGACTAATTCCCTAGAGGTAAATCCGTAACGTACCGGCAAACGGTATTTAGCTAGGTTTTCGAAAAGGTCAATTAACCAATCATGTACGATTTACAGATCACATGCTCCTCCATATACCGATAACAGGTCACGTGCTCCTCCATGCCTCAAAAGTTAAACGCGTACCAATACCCTGCGGACTTCAGACCGCAGGGAATAATTTACACACTTACTAATCAATACAAAGTACATTATCTGGGTAAGTAACATTACTATGGCTTTCATTTTTACCAGGTTATTAACCTTTACAGCACTTTGAAAATGAACAATTGGTTATATCTTAAGTTCTATCTATACTCATGGCTTCATTATTTCCAAACTTACTTTTCCAATACAAAGTACATGATATTGCAAAGTCATATAACTGTGCCGTCCATTTTTTCCAGTTATTTCCCTTTTTATCACTTTAGACGGGCCTTATATGGTTAACCTATTCTGACAAGTTGGATTCAATTTAAATTTCCGCAAATAACATCATTTATTTAATGATATCTTTCATATTTAGTAGGTAAATACCTTTAATTTTTGTGGAGTTAGGGGTCTCTAGGGTCAAGAACAATGTCACTGGTGTAAAAAAACAAATTTAAACATTTTGCTTATACAGCCTTATTTTTGAGTTGATTTCTTTCATGTTAAAAACAAACTACAAAGAGAGGTGCTCTTCCTTTGTGTTTAGTAAGGGGTCATATGGGTCAAATTCAAGGTCACCAACGTCAAAAATATAGTCAAAAACAGGTTTTTACTCAGTTACAGGTGTATTAATTTTATGTTATTGTCAGGGGTCTTCCATATTTTGTAGAAACATAAAATTGGATCTTCTATTTTCGATTGAGTTAGGGTCAGTAAGGTCAATGTCACCTTTGCTTAACAAGAGCCGGTTGAACCGGGTGATGCTTCCCGAATAGGTTTTGGACACAGGAAGGTATACCTCTTGTTGTGTCAGAGTTATGTCACAGACAAAGTTCAAAGTGTAAAAACAACCCAAATATTGTGCACGACACATTGTCTAAATATGGTGATCATTTTTGTGAAATAGTTGTAAAATCCGATTTCAAATAACAAAGTTATGCGCCTGACATTATTTTGCTGCAAGGTCATGCTGTGACCTTGACCTTCAACGTAGTGACCTAAATGTTGCATGCGACACGTCGATTCAATATGGTGATCATCTCTGTGAAATAGTTGTTAAATCTGACTTCCAGTAACAAAGTTATGGGCCGGACACGATTTTGCTGCAAGGTCATACCGTGACCTTGACCTTCAAGGTAGCGACCCTAATGTTGCGCGCGACACAATGTCTCATTGTGGTGATCATTTCTGTGAAATAGTTGTAAAATCCGACTTCAAGTAATGAAGTTATGTGCCGGACACAATTTTGCTTCAAGGTCATGCTGTGACCTTGACCTTCAAGGTAGCGAGCCAAATGTTGCGCATGACACGCCATTTTAATATGGTCATCATTTCTGTGAAATAGTTTAAAAATCTGACTTCAAATAAGGAAGTTATGGGCCGGACACGATTTTGCTGCAAGGTCATGCTGTGACCTTGACCTTCAAGGTAGCGACTTAAATGTTGTGCATGACACGTCATCTTAATATGATGATCATTTCTGTGAAATACTTTTTAAATCTAACTTCAAATAGGGAAGTTATGGGCTGGACACGATTTTGCTGCAAGGTCATGCTGTGACCTTGACCTTCAAGGAAGCGACCCACATGTTGCACGCGACACATCGTCTCAATATGGTGATCATTTCTGTGGAATATTTTTTAAATCCGACTTCAAATAACAAAGTTATGGACCGGACACGATTTTGCTGCAAGGTCATGCTGTGACCTTGACCTTCAAGGTAGCGACCCAAATGTTGCGCGCAACATGTCGTCTCAATATGGTGATCATTTCTGTGAAATATTTTTAAAATCAAACTTCAAATAACAAAGTTATAGACCGGACACGATTTTGCTGCAAGGTCATGCTGTGACCTTGACCTTCAAGGTAGCGACCCAAATGTTGCGCGCGACACGTCGTCTCAATATGGTGATCATTTCTGTGAAATATTTTTAAAATCCGACTTCAAATAATGAAGTTATGGACCGGACACGATTTTGCTGCAAGGTCATGTTGTGACCTTGACCTTCAAGGTAGCGACCCAAATGTTGCGCGCGACACGTCGTCTCAATATGGTGATCATTTCTGTGAAATATTTTTAAAATCCAACTTCAAATAATGAAGTTATGGACCGGACACGATTTTGCTGCAAGGTCATGCTGTGACCTTGACCTTCAAGGTAGCGACCCAAATGTTGCGCGCGACACGTCGTCTCAATATGGTGATCATTTCTGTGAAATAATTTTAAAATCCGACTTCAAATAACAAAGTTATGGGCCGGACACGAATTCGGGACGTACGTACGGACTGACGGACTGACGGACGGACGGACGGACGGACGGACGGACGGACGGACAACCCGACGACTATATGCTCCCCCGAAATTTTTCGGGGAGCATAAAAATAGATTTTAACACTTTTGCTCATACAGCCTTTATTTAGTGAGAGATGCTTTTCATATTTGGGAGGAAGATGGTAGTCTTCCTTCTCATTGAGGTAAGGGTCAGTGGGTCATGGTGACCAGTTTTAAAATACATTTTTACTCTGTTGCCAATATAGCGTTTATTTATTGATAAATGTATTTCATATTTGGTAGGCAGATAACATGTTATTCTTGCTTTTGGATAAGATAAGGTCAGTGGGTCAAGGTCAAGGGTGCCAATAATCCCACTTATGCTTATCAGCCTGTTTTGACTGATATTTTTCATATTTGAAAGGATAGTAACTTGTATCAGTTGGATTGAGTTAGGGGTCAGTTGGATCATGGTCACCAGTGCTAAAAATTTATTTTCACACTTTTACCCATTTGACAGACATTTTTCATAGATATGTTGCTTTTTTCCCCTCTGGATACAGTTAGAGATAAGTGGGTTAAGGTCAAGGGTTCCAAAAAAAAAAGAGATTTTTTACACATTGGCTTATGTATAGAGTCTTAATTTAAAGACTTATGTTTATCATTTTTGGAAGGAACATATATTGGATGGTCCCGTGCTGGGAGTCACAAGGTCAATGTCACTTGTGATGACGATATATTTTTTTCCAGTTTTTAATACATTGTTTGTATTTTTAACCAATGTCTCATATTTACAAGGAACATACCATAAGGGGCCCTTTAAGTTTGTTGGAGTTTGGGGTCTCTGGGTTCAAGGTCTGTTTGGTGCCTTCTGGGTGCCCTACTTGAGTGAGTCGGGGGCCGCGTCCTGTGAACGTTGCCTTTGCCTTGTTGATCTTTATTCTTGTTTTTTTTTTTTTTGCCTTTATATATTTTTGATAAAGTTGAATATTTTACAACTTCATCACAAGTCATTGCAATGACTTGCCAACTTATATTTTTATATTTTTTCACAACAACAAAATGTCAATTGGCATTTGTCTTGTCCATAACTTAGTGAATAGGTAGACCAATTTTGAAATATTAGTACTGATATTTGTGTTTAACAAACACGTTCTTAATATATATTTATGTATAGTTATGAAATGAAATCCAACTCAACACTACCATCCGAAGTAGGTAATATGTTCCACGGAGTGGGTAGTTTGAAATTCTATACGGAGTAGAATTGCAGTTGTTCAGTATTCAATGGCATATGACACAACTATCAGGTCAAATCAAATCAATTGTTGGTTAAACATTGAAAAACTAAGTAGCTCAACCTGGCGGGACGCAGAGGCAAAACATAGATTCATCAAACATATGGAAGTGTTTTAAGAAATTCACATGTAAAGGTGTATTTAGATAATAAAAAATGTCAAGTCAGTTTTGTTAAATGGTAGTCATAACGCTTATATGCAAAATATTGCATTAGATTAAAAAAATGTCCCGAAAGTGAAAGGAAACAATCGCTTTGCTTAGTAGACTTTTAGATTCAGACGATTGGAAAATTAAAGTACCATTACTGTAAAAACATAGACAGAGGTTTGGGTTAGCATTCGATAAAAAAAATTGTCCCGTATTTATTAAACAATATTATAGAATATTTAAACCTTTTACACATTAAACAGGAAGTTTAGGAAAAATGTGCGTAACTATCGGTTTGTTATGGTTAAGGTTATCTATTGTACTTACACGAATTATACAATTGTATTCATTTTTGAGAGAATTGTTAAATAGGAAACAAACGGGGTAGAAATACACACAAGTCATAATATCATGAAGGCATCGCAAATATTTGATTTAATTAAGGGCAGATAACACCGTCAAGAAATATCGTTCTTTTACCCTCTATTTCGAAAAATATTGTGTTTCGTACGATGTGATTGCTGTAAAAATATCTGTCACTACGTACATAACATATCTTATCAATCAAGGAATGTCAGATAATATAATTTCATCAGTATTTTAAGTCTTAAATGGGTTTTAACCATTCTGATCTGACAGAAAATAATATTAAAGCGTATATGTTCCAAACCACTTCATAAAAAAGACACTCTTATTCTCTTTGAGACTAAAAGTATTGTTTCTTTTCTTTGGACCTAATATGTGCCTCACTATTACTTGGTCTCAAATCAAATGAAAACTATTCGCCGCTTCAAATTCGTCTTCAAATAGTCAAACAAGCAAAGATCTAAAATGATGTAAGTGAGATGTAAGGCTTATAGGTCAATAAAATTTTGGTTCATTTCTATATTTAGCATTTTTATAAATAGGAACGATAGTGGCCTCCTACCATACACTAGGGTAAATTCCATCAGACCAACCTCTATTATACAGCCTTAACCATATTTCAAGCACACTGTCTGGCAGGTGCTTGAACATCACATCTTTGCCCGTAGCAGAATCTCGCCTCGCATTTAAATAAGATTTTAATTCTGAAAGGGTAAATGGTAGATTAAACGGCGAGTTATCTTCTCCTGGCTCATAGACCGATTCCTTGTGTTGAGACATTAAAATAATAAAGTCACAGCAATAACACGTATAATATCATTTTTTATTTTTTTTTTTTTTTTTTTTTTTTTTTTTTTTTTGTGTTGAGACACAAATTCTGCCTGATATTGGAGAGTTTCTGGTAACATGTTTGTGTCACTGGATACTGCAGTGCTTACCTAACAAGGAATTGAGCCTTTTCAAGGGGTTTGCTATGCGATTATTTTATTTCATCAGTGATACAGGATTGGACGATATACCTTTTATTATTTTAATTTTTTGTCAAAATATTTTTGCACTACATTTTGTGACTGATTTCACAAAATTCTGTCCAGTGTTGTTTTTTGAGCTTCCAGTATTGTATTTTTATATCTTAATTATAATTGCCTGAGATTATTGAGATTATCAGGACTAGGATTTTTTAAAAATTATTTAGAGCTGATTTTCTATCCTGCACCACTTTTTACACTCATTATTCCACCATGGTACACGTTTGCGTCTTCTTGGCCTGGAGGATGACACCTCAGCCATGTCTAGAATTTCCTTATTGAGTTAATTTTATAACGTACCAGTATCACCACTGAAGACATCCTCAAACTTAATTTGTCTATTTAAACTTTGAAAGGCAGAAAAGTTTGCCTTTTTCATATTTGTATTTAGTGTGATTATTTATATTTTGTTATTCTCAAGGTTATAAATTGTAGGAAGTGATCAGAGCCATTAATTTTTGTCTTCTAGAATACCCCGTGCCAAAGATTCCGAAAGTTGGGGAGTGACCAATGTGAGGTCTATACAACTATAAATCCCTCTTCATTTTTCTAACCTGGTTGTGGTGCCATCATTCATTAGTGCCAGTCGATTATGTTTTACCCCCTGCCAAATTTCTCCCCCCTCTCTTACTAGTATATGTATCGGATGACCCCTAGTTCTGGTGATGTGCATTAAAAACACGCATTCCTGCAGAATGTTATCTATAGTGGTGCTATAATTTTACTCAGTGCTAACAAGTTAACTCCCCTAGAGCATAAGTTAACCAAATACAAAGGGGAACCATTTGTATATATCTTTTTAGGTTGTAAATCAAAGATTACTTCCTCTTGACCATTTGATTATCTCTTCAGTGGATATTATTTGTAACATAGAAAGCTAATGCCCGTGCTATATTATTTCTGGTGTTTCAGGACCTGAATAAAATTAAAATTCTGACATTTATCCGGAGGGCATCCTCAACTGACTCTAAGGGGATGTGACTTCAATTTCAGATAAATCCGTAAGAGTAAGGTTGTTATAGCCCAACTGAGTGATTTCTCCCAATGAGCTATTCATGCATGATGTATGTCTGAGACTTAGACAGAGTTCTCTTTAGTGACATTGAACAATTTATTATCACTCATGGTTGGATCCTCATATCCACCCATGAGAGATAAAGTGCTTTCTGTCCCAGCGGAGGGCCCCGTAGTCTCCCTTGCCATTGTGGGTAAATTTACTACTTTCTGTGGGATTTTTAATATCTTTTGATTCGAATTCCAACTTAGGGTTTTTTTGGATTTTCGTATTTACAGTAGTTGAAGGGGATTCCCCAGCCCCCAACTTGGGGAACTTTGGGCGAAGACTCTTGGAAAGTCTTGTTTTTCTTTTTTCCCCATATGAGGTACTTGGGAGCCATTTCCCCAAATAGGTAAAATGGGGGAGTGTGCACAGAGGGGGAATTACACCCCTCTGCACTTACTCCAAAGGCTTCTAATTTAAAGTCCTCATATTCCCCCTGGGGAGAACGTGGGGAGTTTGATACTCGAAAGGGGGCTTGGGCAAAGGCCTCTGTCTTCTTTGTCTTGAGTTTCTCTAATTCTTTATGGAATAGAGCAGAGGCCCTCCTCCAGCTCATTCTCCTGGTTCTAACTAGGGTCATTATGGCAGTAGCCTTCACATATTCGTTACAGCCTTTGTTGGCTGCAACATGTTTTACCCCACAGTTTGTACATTTTATTAAATTGGAGGAGCATTCTTTTGTGTTGTGACCTCCAGTGCACCGACCACCCGTGACTTTATTTTTTTACATGTTTTAGATATGTGCCCGTATCCCTAGCAGAAAATACAACGTCTTAGAGGGTACATATGTCTCGGTCTTGTACATTAATTTAGAGCCTTCGTCCACGATACTAACATCCAGGGGGCACCCCTCTGAAAAGGTCAGCCTTATGGTCCCAGACTGTTGCCTAAACTTGTTCTCGAGCCGGTCGATCCTCACAAGTGAGATCATATTCCAGCTTTTGCTGGAATATTAACAGATCTTCCTCCAGCGGAATGCCGTGATTAAGGTAGGCTTTTTATAATGCACACCCACACAAGCTTAAACTTTGACAGTTGGAAGGCTATGTTGAGGGACTCCGTCCAGAAGTATATTAGCCAAAACGAGGGGTGTTGCTCTGAGTACACTCTTATTTTTTTATATTGATGTCATTTGATAGTGTTCTAATTTTGACGTTTGTAATTCTACCGTTAAGTCATTTTAGACCCCAAGGCTCCTAGTCACTGTCTTATGTACATTATGGTCCTCTTGCTTGCCCAAGGAATAGCCAAGAACCCCCAAGAGGTCCCTATGATGACGGGATGGACCATGTATGGCCACCCTGTACTATATACTTGATATAGGTATTTTACTGCGGACCAGCCGCCTATTCATAAATAAAAAGTAAAATACTAGTGTGCTAAGGAGTAAATAATTCTCGTTAAAAATTACCGTTAGAGATACCAGCTATTCTATTAAAATAATGGCAATATACAGTATTAATGGGTGATGCACATAACAGGTAAACAAACCAAACACAGACTTTATTGGTCAAATAGGACCGAATGCTTTATAATAAATTAATAAATAATAACATAATCAAGTCGAAATAGATACAAAAAAAAATAAAAAGTATTCAATAAATTTAGAGAATTTGGAATAGAAGAAAAGGATGAAATCTCCGATGTAATGTTTCTGTAAAGTTGAAGTAGGTGGGTGGGGTATGGACCGTCGTTGTTGGTAGGTCTCTAGGAGTGTAGTTGTGCATAGGGATGTGTTTCGCTGTGGTGCCTTGCTGTCAGTTTAATGTCTATATGATATCTAAAGTGCTTGTTAGGTGCCTGTTCACTTTGAATTTGGCTATATTTATATTCTCGACTTTTGTTTAACTTTAGAAGAAACGGCGCTACCGAATGTCCTTATTTCATATATCGTTTTAATAGCATAATATAGTTTTAATATTTGTACAGATATTTTACATTGGATTGTAACGAGCACCATGTTCGCATGACAAACTTGTCTATATAGGTCAATCCAAAAAATATAAAAAGTTGCAAAAATCTACAAAATCGGGTTGACCTCCTTTTTTGAAAACAATGAAATTTCGGCCAATCACAACAAAGGACGCAATCAAATTTGAACCAATGAAAGCTAAGGTAACTAAAAGGTGTTCGGCTAAAATATGAAATTTCCTAACAATTTACAGCTAAACAAACTTGTTTTACGAATGTGTCACTTCAATGTATGTATCACTTATATAATAAGCCCCTCCATACTAAATAAATAAGGTGGAACTCCAATTAAATTTATTAAAATGGTCCGATTTCGAGTTATTCTTTTGGATCAAAAATCAACTTTCGGGCCGCATATCAAGGATTTGGTCCAGTATTCCAACCCTCTCTATTTAGGCGAAAATCAAAGATTCTCAAGTATTATATCCGGGTTCGAGCCTCAAATGCAAACAACCCAGTGCGTGAATTGTTGGGGGATTGTTATTACTCTTTATCCAGGTTTAAGACCACGGTCATTCCCTTTGGTGCTGCTACGTAGGACCTGGCTTTTAAGATATAGACATTGTTGAGAGGCGGTCCTGATGGAGGTCCCGCATTGGATGTTTAATTTTTTCTTTAAATGTAAAGTGAATAAATCTAATTTACCGCATCTCGCAAACTCAGAAACAATAATTCTCATTAATAAATATACAGGTCAAACCCATACATATACAATGGATCTAAGGACCCGGACTCTGGCAGGGTAGCGGCGGCGGTTGTTATACCTTCCCTACAATTTGAAAAGAATTATAGGTTAACCAACAATACATCCATCTATACTGCCGAGCTCCTTGCAATTAAAAACGCAATGTGCAGGATTAATGACAACAATGTTAATAAGGCTGTCATTTTCTCTGATTCACCTTCTACACTGATCTCACTGAAATCCGACAATGGTCAGTTTAGACCAAAATTACAAAATGAAATAATAGTTTTATACAATAAAACCATAAACCTTAGGAAAACAAGTCACCATTGTTTAGTGCCCAGCACTTATAGGGATTTCGGGTAATGTACAAGCAGATTAAGCGGCAAAAATGGACTTAAACCTCAACAGTACACAGAATCAATCTCACTGTAATTTATTCAGTTATTAAAAAACATATTATTAATTTATGGCAGGCTGATTTAAATTATTGTCAAGGTCATATGAAACATTTTAACAATATAGATGGGTTCAGTCGACCAACACAATATTAAAATAAATCTTCAATTGATAAGGCCATCACAAGACTGAAATTGGACAGCACCTTGTTACCTGGAAATATGGGGCAATATATGAAAGAACATTATCCCAATTGTGCCCAAAACGGAGTGAGATATGATATATATCACCTACTGCATGAGTGCGCCTCGTTCACAGAATATAAAAATGAACTGCGTTCTTCACTTAATGAAGTAGGTCTTGGATATTGTACAGAAATATTCTCAGCCCACCTAGGATCTACTCAAAACACATTTATAATGCACTAGAACTATTCCTTTTAAATTGTTGCTTTACTGAAAAAATTTAAAATTCAAAAATAATGTAAATCCGTTGTATGGAAATATATTGGATACTATCTCCCATATAACATTATTTTACTTTCTGTGACTTTTTTATTTGGAATTGTGGTTCCATGTATTTTCTAGTTCTTAATATATTTATTAAATCATAAATTATGTAGAGTTTCTAGTATTACTAATGTTATTAAGAAGTCATGATTTGTCTTCAATGTATACATTTGACATTAAATTGAAAACAAATTCTAAACTACTTATATCAATTTATCAACCACATATTTCCATTAATTTCTACAAAAAAAAAACAGGTGTTAATAGGGACTCAGTTTGTATTCTTTAGTCCCTTGACACCTGATTATTTATTTACACATAATTTGTAGATTCTCTCCAATAAATTTTCTACCAGAGTATTTTTTGTATAAAATATCACCAAATAACTTAACATTTAAATGAGATAGTTTAACCTTCAGACATTCCCCATAAATTAAGCTAGAAAGTAAGGTGTTTCAATTAAAACTAATATAACTATAAAGGTTATCCTGTAGATAGACAATATTTAGTAAAATAATTTCAATTTATCAATTTTAGGCTTAACAAAATTTAATATAAAAAATAGCTGAAATATAGAATAGTAACTTCCATAATTATACAATAATAATAAACAGACATCAGCCTTAATTAAAAAATTACCATCAAATTCTATAAAGTGATATAAAAGTTAAAGTGGTTTTCCTATTTAGCTTATCCATAATAGGAAAAGAAGTCAACTCAACAACAAATGAGGTAATTTAACCAAAATTTTACATCTCAACAAAGTAAATGTGTATAGAATATTAGCTTGAAAGTACTTTATAAATTAACAACAACATTTGTATAGTATATTGGCTTGAAATTACTATATAAATTAACAACAATATTCAATTGATTTAGGGAAGAAAAGCCCATCAAATTCGATTGAAATTAATTAATTTAACTGAATAACTAGTTCCATATACATAAAGTGTATCAAATACAAATATTTAAAAGATTCAAATGGTTAATCCAACCAACACCAACAAATATTCATTAACATATTCCGGGACACTTTTCATTTGGAGGTTGGGGTGGGGGTACCATTGATAAGCAACCATATTGTTTCTAAAATTTACATAGTGACATTGATATTGTATGGTAAAACAAAACTTAAACTGCCAGAAATAGAAAATATCACCGTCAAATGATTGGATTTTTTTATTATTTTTCATAGCATTGTCATTTATTTATTGAAAGGATTCATTCTTCGACAAAACTAGTGTTACAAGACAGACTTCATAAATTTATAAAAAGGAAAACATAACTTTTTTCCTTAAGATTTGTTCTTATTTTTATGTACAATATATTGCATTATATATATGCTATCATTTAGCCCCTGTCTAACATAAACGGAGCAAATTTATGCTATCTGGGGCTCAATCAAGTATGAACTCCTCTTATACCGGTAATACTATAATCAATTTTAATAACCTGAAATACAATGATCAAACTATATTTACAGAAATAACACAAGTAAACACGTAGATACAAATATCATATTCTTGTTTTGCTTCGGTACAATAATGGAAACCATTTAATATTAAAAAATATTGTAACGAAGCAATACAGAAATATGATATTTGTACCGACGTGTTTACTTGTGTTTATTATGTAAATAAAGTTTAAACAATTAAATTAGTTGTCAGCAGATCGACTACTAGAACTGTGAAATGATACACATGTAAAAATCTTTGATTTATTACAAGCAGTAAAAATGATGAAGCAAATAGATTGAACTAAATGATAAAATAAATCAATTTTGAATTGATCAATGTTGTAATGTCTTATTAATTCACATTGAATAACAAACTCTAAAATCATTATATTTATAAAGTACTACTTGTAGTTAAGCAAAAACTGAAATATGATATTTTAATCGATTGACGGTGTTTGATCTATAAATACATGTTTGAATTTCATTAGTGTATATTTAAACAATCAATTTGATATTAAAAACCAAATATTAAACAGAAGAAGCAATAGGATTTATCCTAA